CTCTCTCTCTCTCTCTCTCTCTCTCTCTCTCTCTCTCTCTCTCTCTCTCTCTCTCTCTCTCTCTCTCTCTCTCTTCCTTCTTCTTCTTCGTCGTCGTGGTCTTCTCTCCAGGTGCGCGCGGTGGCTTCTTCAAACGGCGGATCCGCTATGGCGGACTTCTTCTCCGATGGCGCCTTCGACTATGGCGCGCAACTCTCCCTGCGGCACACGACCATCACGCGTGGAATAGCGGGTACCAGCTCCGATACCAATTGCAATCAGACTCGCTTTCGTTCACACTCCACATGCAAGTAAACAGGTTGCGCAGCAAACTGGTGACAAGCGCCCACTCAAAACTCAGAGATATAGTAACCAAGAACGCAGTTCAGATACAAGTTCACTTCAAACGGCTATGGCGGCACAGCGCCTGTACAACTCTCTGTTCACACACACAGGATCACCCTAGATATCCCACACGCGTCACACTGTACACACACACACACACTGCACTCCTCTATCAGCTATGGCGGCTATGGCCGCTGCTACTACTATCGCTATGGCTAAGCTCTCCTTCTCGCCCACTTCGTCTTCGGGCCCACTGCAGAGTCTGTGCAGACCACCTCGCACAAGTCGCTGTGGCAGCGCTTCCGCATGGCTTACGCAGGAATTAATGAATGGCTGGGCGCTGCCTCTTGATTTAAACTTCTGTAGCTCGTTGGTCTGGCCCTTTCCCATGCCCGTGGTGCACACAGTCCTGTACGGTACTTGCTTGACTGGACTAGGACTGACTGGAACTGGGACCGCTGACTCAGCACGGGTAGACTCCACCACTTGCCCACTTGCCTCAACCTAAACGTGAACAGCTTCGAAAGGCCAGTACCAGGACCTTCCGGAAGTTTCAACTCTGGCCTTCCGGATACTGTAGCAGCTACGACCTTGACCTTTCAGGACTGTAGCAGCTACGACCTTGACCTTTCAGAGGTCCTACAGCTACAACTTCTAGAACTCCCTAAGACCACTATTCTACAGGTCTACAGATCGAACCCCTACAATCTACAGACCCTACGACAGTCTACCAACTGTGGGAACAGACACAGGTCGTGGGTTCAACTCCTGGGGTCGACATAGGTAATGTACACAGGTAAGGTAAAGTCTAGGGATCGAGCCCTGGGATCTGCATTTGCTACTGCGAACAGGTGAATACCGTTTCATTATTGTCTCTGAGTTTTCTGCAAGGACGTGAGTGTACCATACTTAAGAATAGCCTGTGTTTTGTGTGGTTTGGTGTGTTTCAATTTTCCCCTTGTCATTCTGAAATCTATTTGTATGTCCCTTTCATTTCTTGTGTCCAGACTGGCCTTGGGGATATTTCTCCAAATTCTGCCACCAGGACAGATGAGGCCTGAATTTTTAGAGAACGTGCAGATCAGTAAGGAAGAATGAAAGGGCTACAACGAACCTTGTGGTTTGCCTCCATTCCCAAAGTCCTAAGCACTTTGTGCAGCAATGCCCCAAATTGTTGAAATAGAGGGGCAAATTGTTTCTATCGCGGCAGGAGGTTGACAATGATTCTGAACAAGTGCCCCCTCAAGGCTATTTCTCCTATATGCTACACATGCACAGGAGGAGGTCACAGTCGATTAGATTGGTGAACAGGAGGAAGACTTGGATCCTTCTCTCTCGCAGGTGCCAGGATGCAAGCAACATGCACCATGCCAAAGACGAAATCATCTTATTCAATCTCCTCACCAATGGAACATATGCTAATTCTCTGCTTCACTTCGGAGCCACGCATACTTCATCTCTCAATGCATAGTGCGCAGGCTTGGCCACCCATATTTCATCTCTCTACGTACAGTGCGCAGGCTTCGTTTTGGCCTCAAGGTTTAGACCTTGAAGAGCCAATCCGGACTTTAGTGGGAGATAATGAATTTGTGGAGTGCAAACAAGTTGTCAGAGGGATACCAGTCACCTCTGACAAGGAACGGCGGCTACATCACCTGCTGAACTTCAAATGGTTGAGGCAAACCAACCCAGATTGACTGGACTACACCTGTTGTGAAAATAAAGACAGCAAGGGTGTATGCAGAAAATGCCTTTCGGCCACCGAGTGCAATCCTAAGGTGACTTCCATCGCATTTCGGCTACTAAGTTTCACAACTATCGTAGTAAGCATCCAAGGGAGCAAGTGTTCATCACACTAATGTGAGATGACAGATCGACACCTCCCGAACTCCCTCCCTGGGACGAGATGGTGATCCTCCCTTGCAGCCAAGTGCCAACAGCAAAGATCTATCGAATGCCTTCTGGAGAGCTAGAGGAACTACGCAAGGAGACCCAGAGCTCCTCAACAAGGGCTGGATTTGTCGTGGTACTTCCGAGTATGGAGCACTTGTTATTTTTGTTCCCTAGAAGACAGGTAAACTTAGAATGTGTTGAATGTTGCATGCTGAATCTATTCTCTCTCAAGAATGTGGAGTCTTTATTGAAGAGGCAATCAGAGAAGGGCTTATTGGGGGTAAAGTCTTTGCACCCATCAATGCTGGTCTGCAACAAGATAACTTCAATTGTGAGCATTATCAATTGTGATAACTATCCCAAACTCTGAGCCTGTCAAATTCATGATATGCACATGGACACTCTGAACACCTCAGGACTGTGTGCGACTCCAGAAGGTTGTATGAAAACCGATTTGCAGCACACCCAACTAGCTGTAAGGTTAGCCAAAGGAATAAGATCCATATAGGCAAAAGCCTCCTGGCTTGCCTAAACCATTCCCAGTCCTTTCTAGCCAAGGTGAGTCAGTTTCCTTTAACTTCACGATGCAGGAACTAAAAGTGCAAGCTGCATGTCACAGGTCATGGACTCACGGTCAATGTGGATAGGATTCCCAAGTATGTGCGATTCCTCCACACACACTTACAGAGGTGCCAATAAAAGCATTCAATGAGGGATGGATACACGATCTGGTCATATCTGAATTTGAAAAGAAATACATTCTACAATATGGCCCACCGAAAACTCTCGTGAGGAATCCGCCAGATTCATCAATTCTGATTGGAATGACTTCACTACGCAGGCCTACCAGATCAAACTGAACATTACATCTGGTCGCCATCAGAAAGCTGATGGACAAGCTGAAGAGATGATTCAGATTATCACCCAATGCCTAAGTGCTTTAATTATTCTTGATCAGCACGCTTGGAATGCAGATTTGGATGGGGACAAAGGGTTGTACAACAACTCTGTCCACTCCGCCACTGGCATGACTGAAATGAGCTGAACAGAGGTTGGCAGACCAGCAATCCTCTTGATTTCATGTTTCCTGATCACCCTGCTAGTGTGACCCCTGGCATGCCTGGCTATGGAGTCAAGTATCAGCGCTTGCTCAGAGTTCAATCCCAGCAATGAACAAGTGACACAAGGCCATGATCAAATTTGCCAATCGGTGATGCAGGCCTGCAACTTCAAGGGAGGAGACTATGTTTGAGTTAAGATTGGATTTTCGGATGAGGTGTCTCTCGTAAGTTACTCCCATTGTACTGTGGCCATGGTAGATTCTGAAAGTCGTAGGTGACGATGGCTTCGGTCCTTCCTATGTGGTTGATGTGCCTCCTCATCTACAAACGTATCCAATATTTCATGCTTCTAAGTTGTGAAAGGAACCAAGTACYCATCAAGTTTCACCTCGCAAACATCAATGAACATTCACAGGAGAGTTCACGCGTGAGAGGCCGAAGCTGAGATTCAATCAACACATGAGGAAGTCGTCCCCAAAATTATAATTATTATACAAGAACAATAAATGTTTCTGTCTCCAGCGGCTCTGCCGCACTCACACACTGTTGCATACTGTAACGTGCAGACCAGAACAAGAACCAACCTCTCAATGCAAAGTACAAGATAGCGTAGCGGAAGACTTAGATACCAATGCTCCGAACAATCAATGTTGCAATGCAGCCCTGAACACACATCATCATCATCGTTCCATGGTGTGAAAGGGGTCTGGCGCTTCACACAGGAAGACTGCGCCAGCCCCAACCA